TAAGAATCCTTCTTCTAAATTGACCCCGAATCATCCGAAAATCGAACTTGACCACACACGCAAGTCATAACATATAATACGAAGCTGCTCAATGCCTTAAGTTGGAAAACGGGACACAAATTCTCAAAACAACCGACGGGGTCGTTATACTTAGGAACTATTTCATTTTGTGCATTTTGTTTAGTAGGATTTGATGAACCTTGGTTCACTATGGTCCATAGTTTATAGACTTCAGCTGTCAGGAAGTCTTCCATTCTTGCTTTCCACCAACTGTAATATTTTTTATTGAACAGGGGTGGTGTGGAAGTTGATTGTCCTTCATTAATTTCGGGTGGAGCACTCATCTCGCTTTCAAGATATCTCTAGGTGTTAGCCGTGTGTGTGAGAGAACCTACTCTGATACCAATTGTTAATCTGAGTACCGGTATGATTTACTAAAGAACTTAGTTCTTTATCGGTTCCTTAAACTTGAAGTAAAGTAAGCAGTAAAGTATATACATTGATTTTTACGTGGAAAATCACCCGACTCAAAAGGTGAAAAAATCACGACCTACTACGTAGGATTTTCAACTCCACTAAGAACAATGATACAAAATATATCAATTACAAGACTATAATTCAATACTCTCTAGTACTCCTACTGCGACTATTTGATTTACAGGTTACTCTAACTTGTAAAACAAACACTCACTCCAACTCAATAATTGTTTGTGACACTTGATTACAACTCAATTTTCTAAAATACATTCACTAGATTGAATCAAGAAGAATATAATACTGATACTCCACTAGAGTGAACACCATGTAATTCTTCAGTTGATGTGTAAAGGATGAATTCAGAAGTCCAAAATAAATAGTATTTAAATGCCTTAGAAATCTTTTAGGAGTCCTATGCATAGTTACCTTTTCGTTTGATAGGACTCCTACTGTTCCAAGGGCTCCACCAGTTTTGGGACTCTTGTCTCTCACTAATTTGTTCGTTTCTTCTTGGCAACAACCCTTATCATATGTAATAGCCTTCTTCTTCCAAACTCGGACCTGGGTAACTTTGAGATAAAGTTATTGTCTTGCACAGACACACAATCATCAACCAGAGGAGTTAGTCCTTTACCCTGAAGAATTGGTTCTTAGAACAATTAAGCAGCTATGTTGAGGACTTGGTTCTTTGAATCATTGCATTTAAACAAACTTTGTTAATCATTAAAATCTCAATACTCAATACAACAACCTCTTGACTTATGCATTCAATAATTCCTTGAATTATATAAGCTCTTATCCCCAATTCATCAAATCTGCTATAGCCATGCATATATCTAAGATGAGTAAATTTCACTTGAATATGGTCTTTGTAGTAGCAATTATCGACAAATGACCAAAAGCATAAGAAAATTATAAAACTATTAAAAATCAAATGACATTTTATGCTCAACCTTTTCGTAATCATAATCCTCCACAGAAATTCATTTACGCTTTAAAACGACAAATAACTGGCATGGTTTTTCGTAATTAGCTTTCATCCATGCAGAGATCTCTTCACTTTTGAGAATAGTCCTCGCAAAAACTTCATCTGTGATTTTACTTTCAAAGTGACTGATAAAAACTCCTTCCAAAATAGCCCTTAGGTTTGTCATTAAATTCTTTGCATCAGCCTCATCCACAAGCTTTGATTGGGAATATGTCAAATCTATTCTCTCGATGCTAAAACAACCATTTTCCTCCACTACTTTAGTCATGTCTTCAGGAGAGGGAAAATACACTGGCACATTGAATGCGTCAACTAGAGATTCATCTAGCATTCCCTGTATATATGTCAAAAAGAAAGACAACTTAATTCCAATATACGGCTAAACTAACTACTCCCCCATCCTATTTTATGTTATAGTGTTTGATGTGATACCACTAAGAAAGAAAGGAAGAATTTAGACACATAAATTAAATATGCGTAAAATACTAAAATTGCCCTTACTACCAATAATTAAATTAGTGACGGCAAGAGTTTCACATATTCATTCACGTTTCTCTCTCATCATAAAAAAGTGAATTTTTATATGAAATAAGTCCCGAAAAGTTATGTCAATTATTAAATCTAGCTAAAACGGGATTAAATAAATTACATAGTTTTCAAATAAAGTAATTGACTCTTTGAGACATAAAAAGGCAAATGTGTCAACATAAAATGGAATGGCGAGAGTATTAAAATAGATCTTCACGAAACCATAGAGTACATAATATACCTCATTGACCATATCAGTAAGACTTGATCCGAAAAATTTGAGGAGGCGATAGACTGAAAATGGTGAAACCAGAACCATTATTCCTCCAGGAACAATCTCCTCAGCTCTTGAATTCAAGAACACTTCCATATCCTTGTCGAACTGAGCAACATAAGCATTAACTACCGCAATATTTGAGGCATCTACATAGTGAATCAATCCCTTATTCCACGCAGGGGATTTCTCATCTAATAACTCTTCTGGCAACTTAGATAACCAATGGATAGCACAAGATGAATGTGCGAAATGGATCGATCCTGAGGGAAATAACCTGCCGTGGAAAGACCCTGGAACTCCTGATGCAAAATAAGACCTATCGGCAGGTAGTGATCGAAAGAGGGTATTGAAATCATTGGTGATATGATCGTTGAAGAATACTTGGAATTCAGGAACATTAATAGTGGAATCTGTACTGAATTGATTATGGTACTTGTCCTTTACAGCTTCTACAATATGTTGCATAGCTGAGAAAGTGTTCGGTCCAACTGAACATCCCAAGTCTACAATACGAAATGTGTTTATTGAAGCTGATAACAGGCTTTTGATGTCAAGCTTTTCAGCAATTGCATCTCTTACCATCTCTTTAGCACCATCTAACACTTCTTTCTGCAGTTGAAAAACACACATAAGTTTGATTAAGAATTTGCAGTTTTATCATGCATAGTAATTCACCAACATCTAATATCTAAAATTCATGTGAGCAAATTGTTATGTACAGTTTTTGTTGGTAAATATATATTCGAATTACAAGAATCTATATTAAACACTAGGAGCAGTATTAGACACCACTGACAACTTTTAAATAGAACTAATTAATTAATTACAGGTTTTCAACTCAAAGGTTATTCGAGCCCTTCAAGTAAATCTCATTAGATATAAAGAAAACTGCCTAGCTTTCCTTAACAACAGAAGTATATATATATATATAGTAAAATTGATCAGACAGTTGTCTATCAGTGAAAAAGAATACGTTCACATGCATGACGAAATATTCTTATTAGTTACAAAGCTATATATGTTTTAAACACTGATTCCAGATATTTTTCGTTCCATGTTTCTCGGAACATTAAGTTAAGATTGGAAATGGTGCTTGAAATACCTGCAATTGGGAGTTTCTGGAGTAGCTGTAGGCACCATCACCAGCATTCATTGGGAAATATCTTTGCATTTTGTCTAAAGCTTGATACTTATTCTTCTTCATGATCGATCAACTATCCTTTTTCTCTCCCACAGTTGTTCCTCATATATAGCCTTCTTCCTAGTGCCTAGCTATAAATGTGGATAGAGTGAGTGGGACACAGATTCCGTTTTTGCAAGGCAACAACTCTAAGATGACTGGTGCATGCCTATTTATAAATGAGCTAGCTGTGCATGTTTTCGTAACATATTTTATTAATTCAATGCTAAATTAATTGGGGGGAGGGTATTTTGGTTGGAAGGCTGTAATTGGCCATGTGTTATAAAGCAAAGAAATTAATCATCAATATGACAATAATAATATTCTAAAGCAACAGTACCCTACATCCAGATTCCAGTGGCAATTGCACAACATTATCCTACATTCACTGGCAATATAATACCCCAACCACAAACAAAGCAGGGCACACATATCAAGTTATAATTAAATGTCTCGATCTTTTTATTTGCATTTGTCATGTTCAGGCCCAAGTTGCATGATCCTACAACGGTTTTTATTTATCCTGGTTTGGCCGTGGACTGTATTTTTCTCTTACAGAAGGTTTATCCAATGGGAACCGAACTAATTAAGAGAATAGACGCTAACGACTCCTCACTATGTGCTGATCCCAGCAGTATTACTGCTCCATGTATCTTTTTTGGAAAAATCTTTTGGATGCTTCCTTTAATCTAACTCATGTGTTCATGTCACTATATATGTTTCTTCAAAATATACTAGGAAGACAATGATGAAGAAAACCCAAATAATTTACACGTCTAACAATGATTTATTCCCAAGAACTTGGACAGTTACGTTCTTAAGTCAGCACTATGACTTTCTCATGTCCAGCCCATGTTGGCACCACTAACTGAGTCCAAAGGGTCCATTAGTAATTTATTATTATATTTGGATGGGTATATAAAAGACTTGTACTCCTATCAAGATTGGGTATTATCATAGTTTGAGTGGGTATATACATATACTATATAATAACATGAATAGATATACAGTAAGCTGATCACAAATTAAAATAAATAGTACTAAGATCTTTTGTACTTGGGAATGCAACTGCTTACATGTTTTCCTCATTGAGCAACTTTGTTGAATTGTTCTTTTTTAAATCGATGAGCACAAGGGTTTTCTATTGTTATTGAAATCTAACCCATCGTACATTCTCAAAATTCAAGAGACGGATAATATGATCCATTAGTTCTATTTCATATGATATTATTTTCTTATTAGTTCATGAATTTGAAAATAATTTAATTTTGAAAGTCTCGTTTTACCTTTTAATGGCATACTTTTATAGTTATAATAATGTTGTAGCATGCTTAAGAGTACAAACTCCAAAACATTTTCCGTCTTCTCTCAAACTTTGTTTCCGGTGAAACTGTGATTGTGTCACATAACGCGAAATGGATGTAGTACTGTAATAACCTTCACTTTCACTTTTTTCCCCACCACATCTAGTGCACTTCAATACCACTCAAATGTTTAACACAAGAAAATAAAATTAATAAAAAATATTAAAATAAATGAGAATTCAAATATATGCAAAACAGAAAATCCGATCCTAACCTTTAATTATTTCAGGATTTCTCCAGCTTGCATTTCTTAAGCAACAATAAAAGAATCACTTTACAGTGCCCCTTTTGGGTGCAAATAATAAATAGATGAATAAATAATTCTCCCACTAAACTGAAGCTGGATATTTTACCTATAAAACTTATAGACAAAGCACAAAGTTAAGAAGATATATTCAACAAGGAGAATTTAACACGCAGGCAAATTTTCCCTCTTTCCAAGTCCAATTTAGCCCCAGTGACTAACCAATGCCCTGGACTATCCAATGGCCCTCTACATAACTGTGTTGTATCCACAAATTTCAGTAGCTTTTGGGTTTGCAAAGGCCCCGGTGGCCCAGTCGGATACACGCCGGAATCCACCACCACTAGCGGCGTCTTCTCCTTCTCAGATAAACCGGGCGTACTAATAGCTGACAAAAAACTACCTGACTTTGTACAACTTTCTAAGGCACATTGCATCCATTGAGATTGCACAATGCAAGAGTTGGAAACCTTGGAATATAAAAGTCTAAGGTGTAATATGCTCTTGGTTTCGTGTTTTTTAACGTGGAGTTGAGCTCCTGTGACAATGAAGCTCAAGTCTTCCCCTGAGGATATCCATTTAGGATCGTACTTTACAGGGGCTGTGCATACGTGTGAGAATTTTTTCCATTGAATGGCTTCAAAGTATCGATCATCGTCGGGTACATCTTCGGATCCGCGCCATGTTAGTGGTTCATCTATCTTGTCTTGAAGGAGTACTGGAGTGTTTAGCAAGTGTTGAAGATGTATGGCCAGCCTGAAACAATACCATCTTGATTCACATATCGTACAAGCAGTGAGCAAACCAAGATTGTACGAATAAATTTTCCTTTTCATTCAATCCTGTTTTGTTACAAACTTACAATATCAAAACTAAAATATAATACAGTGTTCATTGTTTGGCTTTCTCGCAATGTCCCTTATCAGTTGCCTCCCCTTTTACTTTGTTACTCCCTCCATCCCATATTAGATAATTAGTCGCACAAGCTTTATTGGTTCTTCATTTTAGAAAAGGTAGTTTACTAGATTCAAAATAAATTATTTATACATATTAAGTGAATTAATACAAGATCTATACAAAAATTACTGAGTTCTGTCGTAACATGCACTACTGTAACTCCGTCCCTAATTAGTCGAGCTTAAAATATTTATTTCGCTTGTATTTTATATTAATCTGTAAGAACAAGGAAGTTTAAAAGTGATGGTTGAAAAGTTAGTTTTATAGAGAAAATATCATATCAAAGTTAAAAATGTAAATAGTTAAATTAATTTGAACTATAAATTTATATGGAAGTATGTAGGGAAATTTAGCCAGCTATATTATAATAGAGCGTTATGTACCACTTTTATTTAGGTTCGTACTTAATTATATTCTATATCTATATTTATCATTTATGTACAAAACTATTAATTAGAAGAAAATAGAAGATTCCTTCAATTTAGCAATTCATTCTCTCCTTCGCCAACCCCTTCTTAAAAATTTGAATTTCATCTATTTTTCAAAAGATTTCACATCTCATTCTCTCTCCCACTTACTTATCACCCAAAATCGGTACTCTCTCACAATGCAGACGAAAATGGCAAAACTTTTGTCTCTAAAATTGCAGTTGTTCTCCATTGACATCCATTAAAAAACTTCAAAACTTTGAATTTAATATTCAAAATTTACGAATTTGTGATTTGTTTGGACCGGATTTTCTTGCAAATGATGGGGAATATATATTGTAGTTTATATATCAATTTTGAGAAAAATTGTTTAAGTTTAATTTATAGTTGGTTTTAAATAAAATTTCAGATTGAAACTCGAAGATAACGAAGTTGCATATCATAAATTTATCACAATTGTATCAAAATTGTGGCCCCGTTTGTCCATAATTATTTTTCCTTTTTTGCAAAAATAAATTTCAAAAATGTGTTATCCATGAAATTTTACACGTTTTTAAAAATGACTCGAAAATGAGTTTTTCAAAATTTTCAGAAAAACTTTTTTCCTCACTCACAAAACTGCATATTTTTCAAGTGAAATGCATGTCCAAACATAATTTCAAATTCCAAATACTATTTTTCAACTAAACTCTAAATACTACTTTTTTCAAAAATTACAATTTTTATGTCCAAATGCCTATTGTATGTTACTTGTATCTGATACATCAATACCTAAAATACTACCTGATACAATACTAATACAATTATAATATAATATTATATCAAATTTTAAGTTTATAGTTGTGATTGAAACTTGAAGAAGATGAAGATCACAATTGTATCACAATATTTCGTAAATATATCTCAATTATATCACAATGTATGATAATTGTATTAGTATTGTATCGGGTATTGTTTTAGGTATTAATGTATTAGGTACAAGTTAGATACAATCGTGATATAAGTATGATACATTTATGATATAATTATGTTTTAAGTATTGATATATCAGATATAATTATCATACAATTCTTGCAACTTTTTCGAGTTTCAATTTGAATTTTCACCTAAAACCAACTCTATACTTGATCATTCTCCCTCAAAATTAAGATATAAACTTCAAAGTATATTCTCAATCACTTGCAAGATCACTCAATCCAAACAAATTACAAACTCGTAAAACTCGAATATCGAATTCAAAGCTTCAAAGCTTTTTAATTTAATATTTAGCAGCCATATTAATTTGTATTAATCAACTACTTATTTTCTTATTAATCAAATGTAGAGTAAACCTTATGTGTGTTAATGATTACCAAACATTATGTGTAGTTTTGACCGTAAGAAGTGGGGACCAACATTAAGTGAAAAGCTACGTGAATCGGCAGACAAATTTGCATAAAAGAAGAGGGAGAGATGAGAGGAGTGAAAAAGGAAAATATATAACTGAATCCCTTAATTAAAGATTAAGGCATTAATAATTGGGTGAGAATCTTTTAAGAGATATTGTATATAAAATGTTTAAAAAGTTAAAATATTTATTGAAAACTGAAAAACTTTGAGAAAAATGATAAATAAGTCTTTATTATAGTATATAGAGGAAAAAATTGCAAGAATGTAATTAGTGCAACGGATACCAAACATTTTTACTGAAGGAATATTACTTATCTAAAAGGAGTATGATCTCGAGCAATCAAAAGAAAGCATTACCTGTCACACTTCACCCCTTCAAGATAAAGTCGCATACCAGTTACCGGTGTTTTTCCAACAATTACCTGATAATAAATAGTGTATGTTCATAAATCATAAACAAACTTTTTAAGGGTTTGTGGAGTTAACATGAATGTTGAACAAGGTAAATTTAAATTTATGAAAAAGAAAACAGATAATATAACATAATTTCTCTATGTTACTTTGTGCAGAATGAAGTTCCAACTATTAAACTGCAAATTCAGTCTAAATTCGATGAAAGATAAGTAACTCTTTTCCTTTTTCACTTTTTGGTAGAACCATGGGAAAATGACACGCTCTCAAAGTAAATAGCCGAAAAATATATATGTTTTGTATATATATACACTCTATATATTATATATAAATTTTATATACTTTTTTGGCTAACAAATATAAATAATTTCTTGCGCAGGCTAAAAGTGAAAAAACCCCAGAGCGATCGAATTTACCTGAGTTGGGTTTACGTAAAGCTTGGGGCCCATCAAATTGAAATGAAGGGCTGGAGGTCGAATGGACCTATTTGTAGTTGGGCCTAAAGGAAGATCATTATGAATAGGGGCCCACATCTTGTGCGCTTGAAAATCCAGAAAATACTGCAAATCTGCTATAGGTGGCTTGTCTGCACATCAATACATTAATTTAATATATTATATACATTAGATTATTCAAAAACAAAAATCTACTATCTGACATATGTAGTTCAACTAACACATTATCCTCTATTTCATGTTTGAATTATTGTAACATCCTTGGTTAAAGTAGAGATAAAGACCTTTAATTCAATTTGGCATTTATTCAAAAAGAACATTTTTTTTCTCTCACCAATCAAATGGAAAAAAATAATTTAAAATGAGGAAGTTAGCTAAAAAGAAAAAGACTTGATGAAACATTTTTCGGAAACATAAACTACCTTTCGTGTAATTAAATAAAAATGGAGATTAATTATTGATTAATATTAAAGAGAGAAAATTATTATCGACTTACATCGAAGATAAAGGTTGATAGCATGTGATAAGAAACCCTTGCCAGGAAGACCTTTGAGAAGGGAAGTAATGGGAATGAAGTTGAAGCCAATTGCATCTGGGTTTGAAGCTACTGTTAGAAGCCATTCACTGTGTGTGTTTGCTGTTAAATCTCCACCTCTTTTTGAACATATCACTGTTACTCCCTGCAAATATTATTTTCAGAAACCGGAAGTACGTATTATTTTCCCGCTTCTTATGCATGCTTCAGTTTCCTTGAACTTGTGTTTGATTGTCAACCATATATATATATTTCTTGATTTTTCCAGCTAGAATGTAGATTAAATTAAGCAGTCACGTCTCGTCCAAAACCTTGTTATATACATGAGTGATTAATATATAAAGTTTGACTAGTTCTTTTCCAGTGAAATTTTTTCAATCCTTGAAGATACATGCACATAATCAAGTTAGAGAGATATTTTGATTTTAAGACAAAGTCGGCAGCAGAAAATGACTTCATCCTAATTATCTTTAGTAGTTTCCAAGAATCTAATGGTTAATATTGACTTGGAAACCTTTAGAGTTTTGATAGTTTGCAAATTATTGGTAAGTTAATAAATTCAAAGAAAGCTCCCAGGTTTTTTATATTAGAATCTTCTAATGTCAAAGTTACTCTATTAGCTGAAGAATTTGGACATATGATCTGTGTATGATACAAATCAAAGCAAGAAAATTGACCTATCAATTCATGAAAACTCAAATAAAAAATCAGGTTCATCCAGACCTTTCTTTAGGTTTTAAGGTCAAATTATTTGGTAATTATTAAATTACTACTATGAAATTTTGGTGTAATTATGAATTAGTTTTAAAAAAAATGAAGAGAAAAGTTTCTTTAAGTTTTGGAATGGAGACATCTGACTCATAACGTTCTGATTTTTAACCCCTCCCACCTGCTTCTCTTTCCCCACACCCGTGGCTTTCCCCTTTTTTGGAATCAAGTTCCTTGTTAACTGCCACCAATCTTGATCTCTTTTCATTTGTTTTGAATATTATCAAACTTAGTCTAACCTTCGTAAATTACACTAAAGCAAACAACCTCTAAGTACTCTATAAAAGCGAGCATCACACGTTCACTTTGTTTTAAAAATCTAATATTGGAAAATCGATATCTTCACTTAAATATCTTTCAATATAGATTGAAATAATACCTATAGGTATATAATTTATGTTACTTAAAAGTAAAAGTACCTCCTGGAAGTTACTAGATATGGATATCTCCTTCAATTTTTTATTTGAGGGAATATTTTATTCATGGGAAAATTTAGGTGCATTTTTCATTATAAAATGGATAAGCTGATTGAAAATTAACAATTATCAACATACATCTTTTGTGGTAGCTGATGGGAAGTCGCTGAAGATATTGGGTTGTGGATCAAAAACATTGAACGCCTCCAGAGCCTGCAATTCAGAAACAAAAAAGAAAAAAAAAAAAAAAAT